AGTCCACGAGCCTGACCCCCGGGTCGGCGAAGTCCGTCGGTCAGAGGGCGGGTCTAGGGGAGGCCCGGGATCCAGAGTCTTGGGGTCCAGCCCGTCCCGTGGGAACATGTGCAGGACGTCCCCGTGGCTGTGGAGGCTGACAGAGACACAGTTGCAGATAAAGGCCACCTGCTCCCGGTCTCACCAGCTGGCAAGAGTTCACATGCAGACAGGCAGACCCGGGAGGGGAGGAGAGTGCGCCACGCCCTCCTGGCCTGGGAGCCCCGGGCCAGGTGGGAAGAAGGACCTGGCTGCTGAGCTGCTGGGGGGCCCCATCAGCCCTGTGCCTCCCAACCTTCGGTGTCTTGTGACCTCCCCCGGACTCTCCCCATCTTCGGAGACTTCTGAAAGCACGGCGTTAGTCCTGGCACTCTCCTGTAGCCAGTGACCTCCAATTTTTCTCACCTTGCTTACCCAGAATCGAACACCCACCCAGCTCACCTGCCCCAGCCATTTCCTGCCAAACTTGGGGGTTTTGCTTAAAAATCAGTCTCATCCTCTTCTAGGGGGTTCTAAGCAACCTCCCTGATCCCCCTATTTCTGCAGCTGTCAATGACCCTCCCCTAGAGCCCGCTGAATCTTCGGATTTCAAAGCAAACCCTTCCGCCGGGCACTGTCTCCCCAGAGCAGGTCAGGTGGCTCCGGGGAGCACAGGACCTTCGCAGGTGGCACCCATGGGCAGCAGGCACATGTCTGGGCCTCCAGCTGGCCCACCAGAAGGGCTGGGCTGAGGACATCTATGTGCCAGGTCACAGAGCATTTATTTTCATGTGAACAATTGTACTGGATGCCACAATAACCCAACAACTGAGCCAGGCAGGTGTGACTCTGCCTGTGTGATGGGGGCAAATATGCCCAGGCCATACCATCAGAAGGGGATGGGCCTTGAACTCAGACCTTGTTTTCTCAGGAACCAAACTGTGGCAAGCAGAAAGTCACCCTCAGGGCACACAGCTGTCCCCTGGAAGACGCTGGAATTGAGGACACCTATTTCTACAGGTGGGTACCCCAGACTCAGCATAGTACCAGTCGCTTGTCCAAGGCCACAAGCCTGGAAATGGGAACATGAGGACGCAATGGACAAGAGTCCCACCCCTGGACATGTGTCCACGTGCCCTTCTTTGGAGGGTGAGAGATGAGAGGAATTGAGGTCTGGGGTCTGATACCCCCTCACCCTCAGCTGCTTGTGAGATTCATGCTGAATGTCAAGGGCTGTACCCCCAAACTGGCATGAACCTCACAAGCCAATGCTGATTGTCACCAATGGCAGGGACAGAGACCTCTCAAGGGGAACAGCCTCCCTTTCTCCAGGACAAAGGCTTCTGGGGTCTCCAGTAGCCTCAGGGAGGTATGGATGGGGCCAGGACCCCCTGCACCTGGAAACTGCCAAAGACAACATTCTCAAGATCACCTGGACCGCAAGATCAAAGAGGACATTTTAGCCCAGGTGAAGATTCATTCTAGATATAAATATTTCAAAATTGTGTTTCTGCTAGTAGGGGGTTGGGACCCCTGCCTGTTTCCCAGCGGGTGGGGGGATAAGGGACTGAGTTGCCCCTGAAGAGTCTTTGCTAGCCGGGCTTGGTGGCTCAGCCTGTAATTCCGCACTTTGGGAGGCTGAGGTGAGTGGATTGCCTGAGCCCGTGGGTTCGAGACCCACCTGGACAACTTGGCGAGATCTCATCTCTACGATAAATAAAAAAAAAAATTAGCCAGGTGTGGTAGCGTGCGCCTGTAGTTCTAGCTACTTGGAAGGCTGAGGCGGAAGGATCGCCGGAGCCCAGCAGGTCAAGGCTGCGGTGGCCGGCAGCAGCCACTGCACTCCAGTCTGGGTGACAGAGTGAGACTCCAACTCAAAAAAAAAAATAGTCTTTGCTAAGAAAACACACTATTTTCTCTGAAAGAAACATGGCATCAGCCAAAAAGTCCATCCAGCTCTTCACATCCATTTAAATCTGCCCTCCTCAGTTAGCAAGCATCTATTAGGTACCTATGAGTGGGGGGTCAAGTACAGCTTAGCCCCCTGAGCTCACGGAGCCTGTTTCCCATCTGACCTCAGGAGGTAGGGACCCAGCCCTGGCCACTCCAAGGGGATACGAGGCACTGGGAGTCCCCCATCAGAGTCACACACAGACCCCAAACCCCCTGGGAGGAGGTCCCTACAGCAGAGCCCCTTGGGAGCACTGAGGTAGAGCCCCCTCTGCTTCCTACAAGTCCTCAAGGACAGGGTGGGTGTGGCGTAGACACCACCGGCCATGCAGCCAACTCTCCCCCGGCCAAGCCCAGGGAAGTGGAGACTTGAGGGGTCCGTGCTGGTGCTCTTCGTGGCAGGCAGGGCAACGGCAAAGGTGTGGCTGCTAGATATCAGCATAAAAGCTCAGGCACTGTCACAGGAAGCCAGGTCGGCATGACCAAGGACCAGAAGAGGAGCAGTGGCTGGCCGCCCATGGTGGCACACACCTGTAACCCCCGCACTTTGGAGGCTGAGACGGGAGGATCGCTTGAGCCTGGGACTTTCCAGTCAGCCTAAGCATCCTAGAGAGACCTCATCTCTACAGAAAATGTAAAACATTACCTGGGCGTGGTGCTGCTTGCCTGTAGCCACAGCTACTTGGGAGGCTGAGGCGGACGGCTCGCCTGAGCCCAGGAGGTCAAGGCTGCAGTGAACTGTGATCATGCCACTGCACTCCAGCCTGGGCAACAGAGTAAGACCCAGCTCAAAAACGAAAACAAAACAAAACAAAACAAAAACAAGCACTGCCCACTAGGCTGTGAACGAGGACTCCAGCAGAACTTGGGACTGAGCCGAACACTGTCTCCCACACAAGAGACAGTGGCTGGAGGGGAAGGGGAAGAGGCCTGGCGAAGAGACCCCGGATCTGAAATGGCCCTGTCCAGATGTCCCCAGGCACCAGCCAGGCCCCACCTCTAACTAAGAGCCCTGGAAGGGCACAGCTTCCTTTCTCACCCCTGCAGCCGTCCCTGTTAGGACTCTCCTCGATGCTTGGTGGGGACAGGGACGCTGTGGGTGCGTTTGTGGGAGAGGGAAGCAGGGGCTGGCTGGAGTGACTGGGAAGCCCCATGGAGTGGAAGTCAGAAGGTCAACACAGGTTGTTCACGCAAGACCGGCAAGTCTTGGTTCTGACATCAGCACTCCCTGATGCTCAACGTGCTTGTCTCGGAAGCAGGCCCACACCCCAGTTAGAGAAACGCGGACAAGAGCCCCAAGCTTGATGCCAGGCCCAGGGAGGGGGTTCAAGACTAACGTCTTCATCTTCCAGCCAGGGAAGGGGAGACAAGAGGGGTGTGGGAACGAGGGACACGGGCCTCTCCACAAAAGGGTGGGAGGAGGCTCGCACCCCAAAGACGCTACCCAGAAGCCCCCCTCATGCCCTCTCTAGGTCCCCTCCCAGCTGAGGGACTCCCTCCCCTGCCTCCAGCCGTGGCCGGGACAGGCACAGCAAACCCCCAAAGCAGCCCGTGGGGGAGCAGCAGCCCCAACAATGAACAGGGCAGGGGAGAGAAACAAAGGCCATCACGCATCCAGCAAATGTTTATCCCAGGCCCACTCACTGGACACTTGCCAGCTGCTCTGCCTGTGTCTAGCACTGGCCGCTGACTGCTGGAAACATGATCTGAGCAAGTCGACTCTGAATTCACTAGCCAAGGCGTCACTGGCGCTCACAAGACAACCCTGGGAGCCGGGCTCGGTGGCTCAGCCTGTAATCCCGAGCCTTTGGGAGGCTGAGGTGAGTGGATAGCCTGAGCCCGCGGGTTCGAGACCCGCCTGGGCAACTTGGCAAGACCTCATCTCTACAATAAATCAAAAAATCAGCCGGGCGTGGTAGCGCATGCCTGTAATTCCGGCTACTCGGAAGGCTGAGGCGGAAGGATCGCCAGAGCCCAGCAGGTCGAGGCTGCGGTGGCCGGGAGCGGCCACTGCACTCCGGTCTGGGCGACAGAGTGAGACTCCAATTCAAAAAAAAAAAAAAAAGACAACCCTGGTATATGCTCCTTCCCAGAGAAAGCTAGGATTTGTGCAACACTGTTACAGTGTACCCAGCCCTCACAACAACCCTGTGAGGTAGGTGTCCTGGTGACCCACCACTTATAGACAAAAGGAGACCGAAGGTCAGAGAGGCACAGTTAGTTAAGTGGCCCCCAGGTCTGCCAAATTCCAAAGCCTGGGCTCCTTCTAACACAGAGCTCGGACTCACTGGACAGTGACAGTTCCATCACATGACACTCCAGACAAGAATCCTGGTTTTCAAACACAAGGCATTCAGAAGTCAATAAGATACAGTGTAACAATTGTGAACAGGTTCATCAAAAGCAAAATACAGTCTCTTAGTAAAGGTGACAAACATCGCCTTGCAACTGGTTACAATTTTGTTAGCTATTCATCCATTCAACAAAACAATGGAAAGGCACTGTGTTAGACACCCAGACCACTGGCCTCGAAGCCAAATTCGAAGCCAAATGTTGTTAGTAAGGGATGGCGGGGAAACACGGCAAGGGAACAATGCAGTGTCTTTGATGGCTGGTGCGTAACATTTTGGGCAGGACACCAGCGGAGGCGCCTTTAGAAAGCGGCATAAGCAGGTGCTGCTCACAGGCCAGGCACAGAGTGGGCATGTCACACAGCAGCAGTCAGGATGCATGGCCCAGCCTCTGCAGCCTCTCAGAAGTGGGCGAACGCATACCCTGGCAGGGAGGGGGTGGGGCGGCCAGTGTCATCACCCAAAGAGTCCCCCAGCCCCATGCATGAACGTTCATTCCAAAATTACTCCTGTTTCAACTTCAGCTGTCAAACAAATTTACCATTCGTCTCACCCTATGCCCTCCAAGTTCAGAAATACGCAATACCACCAAATGCAGTGGCTCATGCCTATAATCCCAGCATCTTAGAAGACGAGGCAAGAGGATTGCCTGAGTCCAGGGGTTCGAGACCAGCCTGGACAACTTGGCAAGACCTCGTTTCCACGATAAATCAAAAAATTAGCCGGGTGTGGTGGCACATACCTATGGTTCCATCTACTTGGAAGGCTGAGGGGGAAGGATCACCTGAGCCGAGCAGGTGGAGGCTGCGGTGGCCGG